TGCAAAGTATTATCACAAGAAAAACCATGAGTGAAAATTTGTTAAAATTTAATTCCTCAAAACTTTGAATGATACAACAAACGATCACGAAAACTAGGAGAGTTACAATCAACCGACTCACTTGTAAACGCCATCATTGTCGTCACACAAACCAAAATTGTAACATGCACAAAAAATTCCTGAACATCTCGGGCGGAATTTCTTTCTACTATCCTTGGCTGATCGTTTGTACGGAGTTCCGTATAATCGCTTCCAACTCCTCATTCGCAAATCGTATTCTCTATACAAAATCACGCCATTGGCACTTGAATACGATGTGAATCTTTGGCTCAACAAACGGCGATGTTGACCGGAGATCTGAAGCTCAGGTGATGGTCCAGAAAAATTAGACCTCGGGGAAAATAAATCATGATAGCATCAATTAACCTCACAAATTCGAGAGTAATTGCGAAGTGACTCCAAATAAGCCTGAAACAGTGTACTGTATCAAAGGGTGGATCAAAAAGTTCACAGGATTGGCAACTGCAAGCACAGAACTGTTTCTCATCAAGCCAAAAATACTTGCATTGACGAATGGAAAAACCTCGATTTTCTTAGTGAATTTAATTTGTCAAGAAAAATTATAACCACGTCAAGGGGACGCAAGGTGAAAAAGATTGTTCGATGCTTTCTCAACTTTGAACTTCGAATTGTCGTTTTCCCCATTTTAGTGCAATTTATGCTTCTGAACTCAATGATGGCAGAAAATATTTTCGCGAATTTAAGAGATGCTTCACATATTGATCAATTGAACGGCAGGACTTCAAGACCTTTCATCAGTGTCATAATTTAGACAGCAGTATCGATTGCACGATCTTTTTCAATCTTCGGTCAAAAGATAGAAGAAATAAAGTTAGGAATTTCAAATTACTTCCATCAAAAATACCAAACACTGAAAGGAGGATACACAACAACTTCAAGTATTTTTAAGTTGCCTCACAAAATTATCATCGAATGAGACTGAAAATTAAATTATGAGAATAATCTCAAGGCAATGAACCAAAAAAATACGACACCTTAAATTCTAACAACGATGAATTCTTGTAAACTTTGCTGAAAGATATTTCGACGCTTAGAACTCACCAAGCATCCCTGAAAGGATAAAACTGAGGACAATTCTGATACTGGAACATGCGTGACAGCACAGACTAGACGAAGTCGAAACACTCCGAATACGGCACGGATAAACACATTCAAAACAAAACTCGGTAGAATGAAAAAAGTTATTACCTGCACTTCAGCCGGAACCTTCTATAGATTAGGCCATAAGCTACCGCATGTCCAAGGCAACGAACAGAACTTCACTGAAAAACTTGCGAAGTAAACCGGAAGAAGTATTCTGAAGTTGAACTCCAATCTCATTCCTTTGATTTTTGCAGACGTAGAAAGACGGAGTGCTAAGTTTCTACGATCTGTCCCTCATTTCAGAGAGGAAGGAGAATTTTAGATCAGCAGATCAAATTAGAAGACTATGCATAACTTCCCGCTTTTCACTACTTCGTCAAATTTACTGCCCATCAAGTTTAGGTAACATTGATCACGGGAAAAAAGCACCGACTGTCTCATAACCTCAATTTTTTCACACAGCAGTCTTTTCAGGTTAGATAATACAGTGTTTTACAATTTATTGCAAGGCTTCAGTACAGATTAATAATTCATTAAAAATAATTCATATGTTATTCAAAAAGAAAACAAGCCTTCTCCAGTCGTATTTCTGATCAATTGCCAGACGCAATCAATTATGTGCATTAAAAATTGTGGAAGTGATGAAATCAAGTTTGAAAAGGTTCCGAAATTTGTATGCGTGAAATGCTTCATTTCTTGAATCTATAAAGCAGAGAAATGCTTTTATGGCGGGGAATGCGTTCGAAATTAAAAAAAAAAAAAAATTAATCTTATCAATTTGTATGAACACATAGATTCAACGTTCAGCGTCTGATTCGCCTCAAGCTTGGATCTAAGGAGGATCTTCGAAGGCGTTTCGAATCCAAATTTTGAATCTGCGAAGTGGATTGTCAACCGCTGTTGGCTGCGTCTCGTGAGCTGAGTCAAGGGGCGTCTCAAGATGTTGGCCGCGCTGTTGGACCTGAATCATCATTGTCCGGCGGTTTTGAGCTTCAGCCGGCAGGGGGAGAGGTATCTTCCAATTGTCGTTTGGATCCCGAGAGGTCTTCCATCAACAGTGGTTGGTCTCAGCCGAGGCAAGAGGTTGTACATGACGAACTAGCGGACGGTTTCGAGGAACAACCAGAGCAGCCATCCGTTTTTCAACCTCTCTATGGTGGTTTGACGGATGGTGAGTCTCTTCCTGTCTCCCATGCAAAGTTTCGGAAGATGATCGGGTGGTTTTCTTTATTTCCTGTTTGTTTTAGCAAATTTGGCTGCATTCTTCTCTGCTCAAGGTTTTGAACTGGAGGATCCGGTGACTTATCGTCGTAACGTGGCTTGGTGATTGGGTGTTCAGCCAAGGCATCTGGAGAGATTCGGACCTGTACCTCTTCCCTTGCCAGGTTGTTTGGTGCAGGATTGGAAGCACGGCTCTCCCAGTTTCCTGCTAGAAGTCAAGTTGCGGTTTCCCAAGGATGACATGCCGATTGTTCTATTTACTGGAGATTTGTTGATCACTAATTGGCGACTTTTGGCGGAGGAGGACGCCTTTGTGACACACGTGGTCACGCATCGGGCTTCTAAGAGGCCAATGTTTGATTTTAGCCACTTGTTGGCTGGTGAAAGGATTTGACTCTTTCAGGTATAGAGAAAGGCGCAAAGTGAAGGGAGAGCATCTGTTTCTAAAATTTTCCAAACTTTTCGTTTCATTGTAGTATGGCGTGAGTGGACTTTTGTTCCACTTTGGTCAAGCGTACTCACCGGCAGAGTTGAAGGAAATGGTCTATCGAGACCTGAAGATTGATCCTCAAGTGCGCTTCACCCACGTCTGCATTTGGCTTGGGGTGAACAACATCCGGACCCTTGTAACTCAGGACTGTGGAATTTCTTCTTTTGCCGAATTTTTCTCGGCTTTTGAAGTATTCATGGGGGAGATTTGCTCTACCTTCAACATGGTTGGGCTGGCGCTGGGAGCATCAATCTTGCCACCAACTCCTACAGAAGGATTTTTTCATGAGGATCTTGAAATGGAGGATTGTCTTCCCTGCTTGCCGCTGCTGTTCCAAAGTGGCTCAAATCAAATCCCGGATGCTATCAGGCATCAGGCAGGTTTTGGCTTGGTGAAGGAGTTCTTGAGGCAGCTACAACGCATGGTGGGGCTTCGTGTTGTGTCCCCGGAAGGGATAAAGGGGTGGTTCTCAGTGGTGACTCCGAATTACCAACTGGGGCCCTGGGTAAAAACAAACCCCAACGTCTTGGACATATCATGCTTCATGCATACTTAGCCTTTGCCAGGGAAAATGCTATGTCCATTTGTTTGGGTCTATCCTGGGATTGCGGTGGTCGGGAGTTCAATGATGTTCGATCTTGTACGAGTCCACCTTACTGGCTGGACTCAGGTCATGCTGCTGCTGGGATTGTGCCATCCAGGCCCCATTGTCATTGTGGTGATACAGGGGAGGTGTCTTGTCTGGGTGGCCCAGTGGCCCGAGTGGTGATGGATTCAATTGCTGATCCTTTTGAAGGGTGAGGGTTCATTCTTTCCTTTTGGTCTAAAATTTTGCTTGTTGATATCATTCTAATTCATTTCTTTTGAATCTTTCAGAATCTTGCATGTCTTCCAACGGAGATTGGTGGACGAGTGCTTTTCAGTTGAGTGCCTGCATGGGGCACCAAGGGTGGCTGCTGAGCGCGGATCTGGACGCTTCTTGGTGGGATCAATTGTCCGCTATTGAAATTTGTCTTATCCCAGGGTGGTGATTTCTTGTACTCATTCCGGCGGGTATTGGTTGGTTGGTCGAGGAGGTTGCCAGTTTGCCCAGGGCAGCAACCTAACTTTGATTCAAGGCTGAGAGCCTTTTTACAACCGTGTATAAAGTTTGTTAAACTCCTTTCATTTTCGGGACGCATTGAAGATTTTTCTTTTGGCAGATGGGTATTTTCGTTGAATTGGGAGAGTTCTTGTTTGTATGTTTGTCAATCTTTGTATTGGTTTGACTTGTTTGGTATGGAGAATAAACTTTGTTAAATAGACTTCTTGCATCCAAGTTTCTTTTCCAGTTGACCGTTCGTCGTCGGCTTTTGTTTGAGACGAGTGGTTGAAGTCATTTTTCTTTTTGCGCCTGGCTTCTCATCATCAGCTTTTGCTTGAGACAAGAGGTTGAACTCATTTAGTTCCTTTTGCTTGGCTTCTTGTCGTCAGCCTTTGCTCAAGATGAGACTTGGCCAGGCCTTTAAGGTAGGCGTCGTCCACTTGTTGAGTTTCAGCCTCAAGGGGAATTAAGTTTTCAATACTTTGGTTAGTCAACACTTTATAATGTGGAGGTCCTGGATCACCAGGGTTTGCGACCATAAGGATGTCCACCGAAAGGACTAGGCCATCTCTCTTACTTTTGTGCAGGTGTAAGATCCTTGCCAATTGGTATTTTAATCGATGTAGAGGAGATGAATTCTTGTACATTGTTGGCTTTAGAAGAACCACTTGGTCTATTCTTGGTAGGATTTGGTTGCCTTTCGTCTTCTTCAAGCTAAACTTTCTTAAAATGCCAATGTATCCATCGAAAAACAAAGTCCATGTTCTATCAGCAACTTCAATTCTTCTCCTGGCTATATCGCACAGTCTTTCTTTGTCCATTGTTCCCAAAAATTTAAATAAATTGGGACCATAAAGTAGCGGATTGACTTCCCATTTGCCCAGATGAGGATTTAGGAACATTGAAGGAGTGATGGGGGATGGGGCCTCTTGCTCAGAGTAAACATAGGTCAAGGGACAATCATTTACCATACTTTCAATTCTTGACACTTGAGCTTGCAAGACATTCCAGTTGTCAAAAACGAGTCCTCTTAGGGATCTTGCCATTTGGTCTTTGATCATGTGCCTTTTGTAAAATCTGCCCCACCAAGGGGCTTTTGAGGCATTGAAATGCCACTCCACGTTCTTCATCTTTACTAGGAGATTTAATTTATGAACTACTGATTGTATTTCTTCATTAGTTACAGGAGATCCTTTTTCAAAGATTTTTCTCATTTTTTTCCTCTTCATCTTTCTCTTCTTTTTCCAAGAACTTATTTACCTTTTCATGCATAAGCTGTACATTACTACCTTCATATACACTATAGGTATACGTGCCCTCTTAGAACTAGATGGACAACGATCTACATCTCCTCCTGCTCTTTCCATCTGATAACAATAACTTGATGAACACCCTAAGTGTGTTACACATATGAATAATAAAGCATATATATTCTTTGTACTAAACATAAAACAAATTGTGGTAGAGTTCATGATATGTAATTAATTTGCTTATCCATCTATCTATTAACTTATTTTTTGTTTGATTTGTCAACTTATAGTAAATTCCTGCCATTACAAAATCTACTCCAATAAGTAATGGAATTCCTCTGTACTTCTCTTTTAGGAATATTTGTGAGATTGTCTATAAATCGAGTTTTGTCTTTGTGTAAAACTTCTGGTATCTCAATTGTCACCTTATTGTCCCTAACCAAATGATCTATATGTACCTTTTCCCATCCACCATCAAAATTTAAAAAAGGCGCTGTCCCTGTTCTTGCTCTACGCAAGTTATCCGCATATCTTGGATCATTCCCTTGATCGTAAAGACTCCTGAGCCTAAACTCTACTGTATCCTCCCTCGTTGGGAAAAGTACCCAAAGTAAATTTGGGTAATCCGCCAGGTTATGAAAATAGGTTACTCCTTCTTCAATAGGAATTCTTCTTTGTTTACACACAAGCCAATGATAAAACACAAACATTATTCCATTTCTTCTTCAATTTTTTTCAATTCATCTGGCATATTATTCTGCCACAAGTGTTTTTCAAAATAGCTTTTTAAAGCTATTTCTTTTTGTATATCCTTTGCAAATGGTGCGTTCTTAATATTATCATGTAATATTTTGTTTTTTTCTTCCTCTGTTAAATTTGATACCCGTAATTCAAATGCATTAGAAAAGAACTCTTCTAATTTCTTTAATGTTTCAATCCTAAACTTATTTTGGGCAACCAACTTTTGAAGGGTTATTTCCATAGGTAACATATAGTCATTCTCAACCCAAGCACCACCTTTTTGTAAAACAGACATAAATGTAGCCCACTTGTTTTTATACTTGTTCAATGTTTCAGGTTTGTGCTGCTTTGCAAAAGAAAAATGGTCAATAGAGGTTTGAATGGTCTCCGGTGTGTTAGCACGCTTACTATAAATTTGACGAATTTGTGGAAGGCCAAATCCTATTGCTTCAACATCGCTAAAATCTATATCCTGCCACTCTTTTGGTAAAGCATGACTTTCATTTGCTGACATTTTCAGACTTTCATTGTGTTGAACTAAGGACAATTTATTTTTGAAATTTTGACTATTTTCTAAATCTAATTGCAACTTGAAAGCATCAATAAACTCCTGATCAAACTTGAAAACAGAAAAACCGCTTTTTCCAGTTTTTCCACCAGTCCTTTTCATAAACCCTTTTTCAATCAATCACCCTTTGTATAATTTTCCTTAATGTTTTTTTTGTTGTGTTAATTACACAAGATAATGTTTCAATAGTTATCGGACCTGTAACGGGTTCGCGTCTAACCATACAACAACCAACAAAATAATGAACTATTCGTTTTTGAATGCCACAAAGTTTAGATACTTCTTCATGATAATTTAATTTTACATCAATGCTATTTTGACTACATTCTGGTCTCTTAATGACCATTTTATTTTCAGGTCCTTTACTGGGTACTCTTTTTATAGGCTCAGCCTCTAGTTTTTTTATTAGATCCTTTATCATCTAACTCCTGGTAAGTCTGGGTTATTGAATCAAGTTGCTTATTTAGACTTTGATTAATAACTTCATTCTGAAGTAAATAAGGCGCCCTTCTTTTGGGTACAAATTTTTGCTTTGTTCCCTCTGGTGTAGAAACTGGAGAAGTCATAATTTATACGTTAATATTCTTCCATCATTTCTGGATTGATGAAGTGGGAAAAAATAGGGTTACTTTTCAGATTATTCATTCCTAACAACTCACGAGTGAAAGTATCAATATCCTCTCTACCCGCTGTGCTAACAGTGCTTTCAAATACTGTTGATTTTCTTCTCCTATATTTTTCAATTTTTTTGCATTTTCTGATATAACCAGAAAACATCATTTCTCCATACCGATGGTGTTTAATTAAATCAGAATAGGTATCCCTTGAATCCTTCTCTCTATTATCAAACTGATTCAAAATGATTTTCATTGGGATAGTTTGCATATCGTGGTCATCACACATACGGCTAATTTCTTTAACCGTAATATCAATACCTGAGTCACTAAAATCACAAGGTGTTGTAGGAAGAATAACCATATCAGATGTAAGCACAGCGGCAGAAATAGATTGACCTAACAAAGGAGGACAATCAATTAAAATTAAATCGTACTTTGAACGTAAAGGATCAATTTTGGACTTAGGTACTTTCTGAAGGGGAATTTGCTTTAACATAATAAAATTATCAAGAACAGAGTTATCATAACGGCTGGATAAAATATCTAATCCAGGTAGAACATTAACTATAGAATCTTCTATCTTGATTAAGCTATCATCCAACAAATTAATCAAAACAGGATAATTATTAGCATCGATATTAAACGATTTTGTTGAATTCCCTTGGTGATCAATTTCAATAACTAAAACTTTTTTCCCATTAAAGTTGTACGTATAGCTGTTTCACAAAACAAGGTTGACTTTCCTACACCACCTTTTCCTAAGACAAAGACAACAACTTTGCATGGTTGTTTATATGGCGCAAAAATATTTATAGCCGTTTCGTATTCAAAATAAACTCTATTTCTTAGCTTATGGTATGCTAACTTTTTTGCTTTGAGTTGTTTATGAATGGCTTGTACCGTAACGCCCAGTATATCGGCTGCCTCTATAGCTAACATTTTTGGATGCATTTAAATCTTCGTTTCAATATGGTTTAAATGATATAAAAAATAACTATGTAAAATTAAACTATGACAACTTGTCAAATTTTTAAATGTTTTTTGCTAATGTTATAAATTTGCATGGAGGCGCACTAGTTATAGTTGTTTTATTTAAAATAGTATATAAATAA